AAAAAAGTCCTCTACCATTTTGCGATCTTCGCAATAGTTTTCGAGATATTAATATATAAAGCTCGTCAAATCTGAATGCGTGGCGAGATACCCCCGCCCGCCGCGGACCGCGGTCACCTCCCCCGCGCGCCTAGTTGCGGCGCGTGGTGGGGGTAACTAATTGTCTAGCGCACGGCAATGGATTACCCCCACCACGCGCCGCCCACTAGGCGCGCGGAGAAGGTGCCTGCGGTCCGCGGCGGGCGGGGGTATCTCGCCGCGCATTCAGATTCGACGAGCTTTATATATTAATATCTCGAAAACTATTGCGAAGATCGCAAAATGGTAGAGGACTTTTTTGTTCAGTTTTGTCCACACTACCTCCCTACAAGCGCTGTACCATTGAGTATGAGACACCCTGTATATATATACATATATACATAAACATATATGTATATATGTATGTGTACATAAATTGCCACAAGTTCGGGTCCACCTAAATAATTTCTGAATGGTAGAGGTATTGGATTGAAATTTACAGGGTTACCATTATGAAATCTATCATTTAACATTAAAAACGCCCACTTTAATCCTCCAGGGGAGGGGGGCAGGGAAAAGGGGTTGAAAATCTTAAATAGCATGTGGGGTCGAGTGAAGGCTTGTTCGAAAGGGCTTTTCGAGACGACAAGAACGCGAGATAGTCGTTGAGCGTCGTTCTCACCGTGGACCCTCACTGGAGCTAATTAATTAACACCAATGTTCAAATGAGCATATAACTCTACGAAAAAAAATCGTAGATCTCAACGACATATCTCGCGTTCTTCTCGTCTCGAAAAGCCCTTTCGAACAAGCCCTGACTCGAACCCACATGCTATTTAAGATTTTCAATCCTCTATCCCCGCTTCCCCCAGTCCCTGAAGGATAGTTTTCAATATTAAATGATAGATCTCGTGACGTCATTTGTAACTCTATAAATTTCAATCAAATATCGCTAACCATTCAAAAATTATTTAGATGGTCCCGAATTTTTGGCAGTCTTTGAACATATCTAATATATGTACATAATAGAGGTGTGCGAATAGTTCGAATTCGAATCGAATCGAATCGAATCATAATAGATTCGATTCGATTCGAATTCGAATCTGCAAGATTCGAAATCGAATAGTTCGAGAATTTCGAATCAACAATAGTTCGATTTCGAATCGATCGCTTAATGTAGCGTTAATTTGGGAAAATTTGATTCAGATTCTATTCGTATTCGAATTAAAGAGATTCGATTCGATTCGATTTCGAACATGTTATAAAAATTTGATTCGATTCGATTCGACCATGCAAAGGCTTGATTCGCACACCTCTAGTACATAATTTAAATTATATTATCAGAACTCTTATTATTCTACTATTTTTAAAAGTTTAAATAGAAGTTACTCAAGTATATTTGATAATTATTGTCCTATTTGTACAGCCCTTGACGCTTCTATCCTGGGGATGCAGATTGTCCATGTCTTATGTGAATCCCACGTTGGTGAAGAATTTCATACGCCATCGAGCTTGCCGCGGTCTAGAGAACAATGCTGACGACGGTCAATTCGAAGACGGTCTGCTGAGCCGATCAAGTATTGTGTCGGACAAAGTTGATTCCTCGCTTTGTCCTAATATGTAAACGAATGTACATGCATCTAGCTGTATTATCGTTGTTTTCTTATGTGAAATATTTATAGTCAACGTGAAATTTATTTATTTGTGATTTCAAAGTTACAGTGCTTGTTTCCCACATGGCTTATATAAATTGGATCTTAAGATATTTCAATAAATCGTACATGAGTACAAATAAGGTCTTTTTTTTACTACTGTGTCACTTTCTTTCATCGTGATGCATCTTGCGTTTGCAAAGGATTGAGGAGGGGGGGGGGGGAATACTGAGAGGACTCGGAAAAACTAAGCCGTTCCCTCCTTTCTTTTATTCCCCATATATTCATATATTCTTTACCCTTCGAAGATCATTAAATACATTGAACATCGTGTCGGTTTTTTTTTTAATTCTCCTTGCGGACCGCTTATCTACAGATGTATAGTAACTTCACTGCAGTGCTGGTTATAATCTTTATTCTTGCGATTATTTATCTCCGATGATATATAAAATTAGGGGTCAAGACGAGTGACACGCTACTGTTATTATCGGTAAATGCAAAATATGCTACCCGACTACTCAATTGTAAGTAGTTTTAACGTAAAAGAATATAATTGTACAGTGTGAACGCTTGACTTTTCTCCCTTCTTCTTTTTTTCACTTTTGCGGATGAGTGTGTACGTGTGTGTGTACGTGTGTGTGTGTGCGTGTGTGTACCTGTGTGTGTGTATGTGTGTGTGTGTGTGTGTGTGTGAATATCGAGAATCATTAATCTTACATCGTTGATGTTTCTTGAGTGCGGCACGAGTGCGGAAGCTGACGATTTGCGCCGGAAGGAGCGGAAGTCGCGTCTTGCCGAATTGGAACTTTTCTCGCATGAGGAAATACGGTCATACCGGACAGTCCAAATGTTTGTAAGATTAACACACCCTTACCGACTTAGCGCAAGATACCGTAATTCTTCAGACGTCTTTGTTCTTAGAACGGTCTAATTTTTCAAATTGTCTTTAATTTCCCCAATCTTTCGGACGCGTCCCACTACATCGTAACGTTTTCAAACTTCTTGAATGACCGAAAATCTTTTAGACGTCTTTTTTTTTTTTAAATGTCCCAATTCTTCAGACGCCTCACTTTTTTTAGGCAGTCCAAATTTTCAGATGTTTTCGGAAAGACATCTCTCTCAGATGTCTCTCGAACTCGCGTGGCATCGCGATGGATGTAACACCGCAGTCTCGAGGCCGAAAGTTGCCCCTCCTGGCACGATCCGTCGCTTCGCGAGTCTCGTTAGTCGAGAGAATAAACGCGTTTTTATTTTTACTTTTATTTTTTACTTATCGTGGTGCAATCCGGCGATTTCTAACTGCATTCGACACATCGGATTTCGCGAATAAATTTTCCCTTGCCATGTCCGAGAGTTATATCAGAGTGATACACACATGCACACTCCGAAATGATGAGAGCTCTAATGATGTAATAGTACCAGTTTTCATACAGCGAAAATTGTACACGCGCGAAAGCAATAAGCGAATTTTTTCATACGGCCAGTGAGGTGAAATATATTACAATTTTGCAGCGATGTTCTCGAAGGCAGTTGAATTACTTTGCCGGACGCACGGCTAGAGGCCTACTGCTACGCTCATAAAAGGATTTTTTCCTTTGTGCTTGATTATACGACGAAAGGGCACATTCACTTGATCACGTATTATCTCTACTGCAAAATTAATCGTCACTACATCCAAACAAAATGAAATATCCAAGAAATATCTGCGTCGCTTGATTTCACCAATATCGGAGTCTAGATGTAAATCAATTATTGTCCCTTTTTAAATCTAATGCTAGAAACAGACAGATAATTGCTTGAAATACGATTAAAATTAAAACCCATGTTGTACAAATCTTACTGTAAACTTAAAAAGATAAAAATGGTATTTGTAAATTTAAAAAATGTTTAATCTGAGTCATTATGTTAAGGAAAAATATATTTTTTAAATCAGAATAAATATGTAATTTAAGTAAAAATATTTACACATTTTATCAAATTATCAAATATTGGAAATTAAATATTATTTATAAAATGATAATTTAGACCGTTTTTTTTTAACCAAAAAGTTATGCAAAGATCGGTTGTTATTAGTAGTTTTGTACTTAATGAAATTAATTGCAGTTTCAATCAATTGATGAAACTTTGAAATTGATGAATTTGAAATATAACTGCCTATTATAACAATAACATATACTTTCTTCTTGCAGTTTAATACATTTCTCATGAAACTTTTAATCGAAGCTTAAAAATTTACACATGCTTTTCAATTAACATTTTAATTTTCATTTTTACTATTATGTTTCTTTAATTCTAATTGTTACTTTCTTCAATTGTTCTAACAATAAGTTACATATTTTTCTATTTTCTATTTTCGCAATAATTGTGCAAAACTCATGACGTTTACAGCATGTCCACTCGCGGATCAAACATTTCTAGTTTCTCGAATATTTCTTGGATATTCTCATTGTCTGAATGTTGGCCTCACTCTCTTCAATTCGTAAGATTTAACCCTTTAAGCTTAACCCTTCCTGATTGTAAAGCCGGAAGGGAAGGCTCCTTCGGAGCCGACGAGATGGAGTCCTTTCACCTCGCTCGTCCCCGAACGAACAAATTACATAAGACCGGATGTCTTAAGGGCGGGTCTCTTAAAATTATTGCCGTCTTTGTACAGTGTCAATGATAATGATGATGATGATGATGGTGGTGATAATTATAATAGTAGTAATAGTAATAATAATTAATCATTTGTCAGAAACAAGAACGCAAGATGCCAGATTCATATTGACGCGTCTGCTGTCTTTTTTTTAATGCTCTTTTTGATGAGACTTTTCATTTTAGCATTTAAAATTTCTTATACGCGAAGAAAAAATCTTACACAGCGCGCTCGCGAGACGTCGGATATACGTATAGGCAGAAAAAACACCGTTGACCTTAGAGTTCCTCTTTTCTGTAAGTATTCCTGTTAATATTAGTATGCTTCTTTTTATTAGTTTTATCGTTTTACGAATCTCATCTATAAGAAATACCTACAATAAAAAGTATCCATTATCTCTGTTGCTCCTGCATTTGCTACAATTTAGTTTCTGTCTTTTTTTACCTTTTTTATATTTTTTAGTTTAACGTATTTCTCTCTCTCTCTCTCTCTCTCTCTCTCTCTCTCTCCCTCATTCATTTTCTCTCGTGCACACATTTTTTTTTCTTTCTTTCTTTCTCTCTTACACACACGTTTCCTTTCACTCCTAATATTTTTTATCGATTTCAATAAATTAAATTTATTAATAATCTCACTTTGCCACGCTGCAATACGCGCGTGCCTCTTTATTTTTTATTCTAAACCGTTTACGATTCTTTTCTCTTGTCGTTTGACGTCGCATCATCTCTCTCTCTCTCTCTCTCTCTCTCCCCACTCTCTTGCTTTTCCCCTTTTCTCTTTTTTTCCTTAAGCCTCTCACGAAATTACAATTTACACTTGAAATTGGAATTGACACTCATAAGGTTATTGAAGTAGCCTCTCGTATTTAATAATTGCACCAACGTGACATCGATCCACATATTCACGGACACCAGATCGATCCCTTCCTGTCCACATTCATGTATTACTCATTTTTCTTCTTTCTCTTCTTCCTCTTCTGCGTGTATTATATCTATATGTCCGGAAATGGATCACGCATTCAAAAATCCCTATGTATTGTGTATCCGCTGCACAATCTTTCCTTTCTATCCTATTCTACGTATAAATGCAATGAAGTAGCGTATTTAATACTAATATTAAACAATGTCCGTTCTTCTCTCTCTCTCTCTCTCTCTCTCTCTCTCTCTCTCTTTCTCTCTCTTTATTCGAACTCTCGCAGTATGTATATGTACTTCGGCTAATCGCGACGAATAAATATAATTCGAGAACACGGAAATTGTGTGACTGTTAATTTAATGTTTATGTTTCTCATAGTTCGTCCCTCTCGACACGTTTGCTGTGCTTTAAATTGCTGCGATGTCTTATTACATCTGTGTCCGGTACAAAAAAAATGGACACTCTCAAAGGAAGACGTGTCAGCTTCCCGTAATTTATTACCTAATGATCGCGAGATGCTCGCAAGGGAAAAACGCTGATCGCGACGTTGAAACCTGACGTTCACCAATACACCTGATCCTAACTAAGCGAAAAAGAAAGATGCTTTCTTGCGTTTTTCTTAACCGTACTGACGGCGACGACGAAGTCGCGAGCGTGAAGAGGATTCCGCGTAGGAAATGAGCGAGATCGAAAGCGATAAAAGATTATACAGATTAAAAACAACGCGATTAGACATCCGAATGGCCATCCTTAGCCTGGCAGGGGCGGGAGGGGGAGGACTGAAATGGATGAAAACGGAGAATGAACGTCAAGATAATCGATTGACAGTTAACGAGGAGACACGACATTCTTTAAATCTTTTTAGGCCAGATTCGTTTAACGTACAATCAGCTGTTGTCAGCGCCGACAACGGCTTACTCTTATAGAATACTCTCTCCCTCTTTTTTTTTTTTCTTAACTAGCATAATAAATTGACGACGATAGGTGTTTTTCTTCCTCTCAATTCCTATCACGAAGAGTTCGCTATAAAGCTAAAGAATACGAGATCCGAGGCTGCGTTATGGATTTCTCTGCGAGAGCGGACACGTCGAATTAGTCCGGACAGGCTCGTCACGACAATAATCCGTTACCGGAAATCGGTTGATTGATTGATTCGAGAAATAAGGCGATTGCACGTGAACAAGACTGCGCGAAAAGATCGATGCAGATGTTAAAACAGCGAAGAGAAGGAAAAACTGATTGCGTTTGCCTTGTAAGGCACTACGCAACAATACACGTTCAGTTAGGCGACTCGATATGGGCGACTCGGGGGAATAGAATAACGTGGCCGAAAGAGAAGAAGACATGTATGGCTTTCGCGTCCGCGATGCGATTCTCTCGTTCTTCTCTATCCTTTCTTTTCGGCCGAAAGAGGCTTCCTCTTCTCTCTCTTTTAACTAACGCAAAGCGCTTCTCGACGACACGGACGAAGCGTCCTCTCTTCAATGAAATCCACTTATCAGCCAGATAATATAAGTATCAGAGAGTAGTGTACCTATCGACGGTCGCAGTAACTCATGACAGAGGGATTACGCAATTAGATCTTAGCCATCTTAATCGTAACTGGATTATAATTAGATATTAGATCGTAATGCTTGTTCTACTTAGACTAACAATTATTATGCTTTCTGTACAATGCAAGGTGTGATCTTAATATCTTCTCTTATAATCATCGTTATTATTATTATTATTATTATTATTTACTTATTACAGCATAACGTGCATCGCACAAATCGTTCACCGTTTATATCATTTTTCTTCCTTTTCGCCCTTCCTCTCGTTTAAACATTAATCCATAATCTTCTGTAGAATGTATGCACCTCAACGTTCGTAATAATTATAATATACTCAACAAAAAGTATTAACATTATTAACGTCGCCAGCACTCTGCCTGATACATTAATCTGTCGAGGAGCAATATATAGGCGCTGCCAATAATAATAATTGTTGTTATTAATAGTATTCTTCTTTCTCCTCGGTCATGACACACCTCTCTCTCTCTCTCTCTCTCTCTCTATCTACCTATCTATTTATATATAGATTTATATATTTTTTTAAATATGTATATGTATACATATCCGTGTACATACAATGTCGCTCATTCTTTCTCAATCCACCGATGAGATTATCCTTTAATTTTTTTTTTCCATAACACCTATAATTATATTATTGCTGCAGCTTAATGGCTCCTTTTCTCCGCTTCTCACGTATGCGCACACATACACACGTAACACACACACACACACACACACACACACACACACACTCGCGCATTCTCACTCTCACGCAATGGCTCTTGCTTACTGCACTTTACACTTATTTATGCCCTCTCTTATTACTTCGTCCATGTTGGGGTTAATCGTTTCGAAGATGATGCACCTCCCGCACTGATAGATTTCGGAAACCCACGATATAATTTGACAAGGGAAAACTCGTGAGAAAATTTCGTGCGCAGGAAAATTTATAATTTGAAAGTTATAATCATTTCGTATATATATATACACGCTCTATATGCTAATCTTGAGAGACGACGAAAGGTGACTCGCGTTATTTATAGAGGCGATGTGCGCGACATGATGGCTTCGGGATCTATGCGCTACACATTGTAAAGAAAAATTATTAAAAAAAAAAATACTATAAAAGTAACGAATATGTGAGTTTGCCAATCTCTATCAAGTGCAGATATAAACTCAAAAAATCGAATTGATCGTTCGCGCGACGTATTTTCCAAGACTAGTGAGATACAAAGAAGTTATACTTTTTCAAACAACAGTGCGCAAGGAGAGGATTACTTTTGCCCGAGGGTCCGCGAGATTACAGAAGATACGCGTAGTCGTTGTTGTACCCAATACCTAATGGTGCGTATCGTGCAACACGAAATCAGAAACTTCAAGCTTTTCGACTCGACAAAAGAAAAATAATATCGGCCAAATTAATCATCCAGAGGCAAAAAAAAAATCGAATCTGTTTACATGTCTCGCGTATATATCGTACAATTAAGTCTATTCTAACGTCTGTAACGTGCCTGAGCATTACGTGTCGTCGCCTCTGCCGGCCACATTCTGAAACGACGTTTCGCATCTTATACGCCTATAAAAAAGACACGATCGCTTCGTCTACACCTCGCTATATCGCGATAATGATATCGCGCTAATTACAGCTAAATAGAAATACTGGAAGAATTGATTGTTTCTCTCACTGAACACCTATTGGTCGAAACGTCTTTTCGAGTGAGCTGTCGTTAGAGCAAACAAGATACACGGTAAAGGGTGCAAGACACCCTTTTACCGATTAAAATACCCGTTATAAAAATCACATTGCTCACGTTAATGTTCTTTAATCGCCGTAAATTAAACGAGCACTCTCTGAGGGCTTGGTGTCAATTGTATCAATTAGTATTGGTTAACTAACAGCGAGTAATACGAAGGGGAATGCTTGCGTTGAAGCACACCGTGCTCCTAACCGTAAACTATTAAATGCCTTGCTGTCTTTTATGCGTAGGAAAAAAGAGGAGTTTTGGTAAAGCCCGTGGTTAGCCAACACTTGATGCACAATTTACCCTGAGTTACGCTCTACTTCTCCAATTTTTTTTTTTTACACGATTCGTAATTCGACATACCGTTTTCCGCGAAGAAGAAACATTCCCTAGCTGATTCCATCATGATCATCCTGATACAGAGAGGTGTAGTGTTAGAGATGTCCAAAAAGGTTTTTATACTCAGAACTGGCGTGTGATATGTATAGCCGAGGGTTAAACCGCTGATTGAGGTAGTAGAACTTTGCGAGTATATACTTAGCTGTTAATTCTCTTCTCCACTCAGATAGCAGTATCCGTTGAATTTTTGGTAAACACCAGTCAATCGCTAACTCTATTTTAGCTCTTTTTTTTTCGATCTCTTTACAAGAAAGCTTCGCGAAACTTCGTTGACAACTTTGAAGTCTTCGCACAAGGTGTACCGTATAGAAATCGCTAGAAATTATCATGAATAATTACTAATACCAATTAGCACGCTATTTATCTAGTAATATACCGTCGTGGGATGATTTAATAGTTACGAACTATCTGGACGATGCAAATTTGGCGTACAAATTTTTTGTCAGCGGTTTATCTCTCTCTCTCTCTCGCGTATATAAGCGGACACAGATTCGGGTCAAACGGGCGAGAGGCGTTTTCAGAATGTGACTCCGGAGTGACTTGTCCGAGATTCTCGGTGTGCAAAAATCACAGTCAAAGAAGGTAACACTTTTTTTCGAGCGGCATCTCGTGCGTCGTCGCACGTTACTTTCGCGACGACGAAGAATAAGAAGGAAAGCGATAGCCGCGAGCCGTTCATCGTCTTCGCGTTTAGCAGCACCATTAGGTGTCGGGCTCGGGTCGCAACGGGAACATTATCGAAGATTCATGCGTTGTGTGAACCGCCGTTTTCGACATGCAACGCGTAATAATGTCTCACAATGAGATGTCTCGTGGTACTTCGACAAGGACATTCGTGCGCACGCTGGAGAAAGAGACGGGGAGGGGGTAGGGGGGGGGCAGGGAACACCGGCAGTGTCCTCGTGTCAATAGTCGTCCTGTCGACGATATGTCAGAGCGTCGATCGGGGATGTCGCTTGACCGACGATGCGTACGTATCTCCGATCGATCCAGTTCCAGTTGCGTTCTATAGAGAACGTATCTCAATTTTTTTTCGGTCTGTTCCGTTCGCGAGGCCTCCCGTCTGTTATCTTGTGCTGTGTGATTCATATGAGAAGAGGGAACAAGCGGAGGGATGTGAGAAGGAGAGGGAAAGAAACCATGAGAGGAAGAGAGCTTTGCAGCTCTTAAGCTTCGGCGTGACGAGCGGAGTGAGCAAAGGCCAACGAGGAGAGTACCGATTTGGAATTGACTGTTGCACGATGAATCGAGTCGGAAAATTATCCAATTGATACTCAAACAGAAAAACGAAAGATGTTTCCTTTTTCCTCTTTTCATACTTTTTTTTTTACCAAACGCGAATAGCGCGCTAGCTATCAGAGGAGACTTTCGAGACGAAGATGACGCAAACGCAACGATGATGATGATAATGACGACGACGACGACGACGACGACGACAACGACGACAAACAACGGCGATGAGTCTTTATCTTTTTGGTTTCTTCATGTCGAACTGGAGAACGTGCATAATAGAAGGCTCTAGCGATGATGGGTGTTAGAAGATAGAAGATAGAAGTACGCCGATGATGGAATCTTCGACAATGACGATCTCCTTCCGTTCGATGGCGATCAGCTTCACGTATCGAAGCGATACGAGTGAATGCTGATGCTGCCGGCGGTTCAGAATTAGGTACACGATGCTGTTGATGTCTTTGGACTTTTCTGAACAAAAAAAAAACAATCGTCGTACAACAGCAGAACAATTGCCGACATAGAAATCGTATAGATTCAACACTAGACTGACAATGTGTCTCATCAACTTAGTACTTATTATAGCAAATAAATTTGTCACTTGAAAATGCCATAAAAAGGTGAAATTTAACAACTTCTAAAAATTAATATGTCGTTATACATTATTCTAACTCGCGTAGCAATCAAATTACAATTACTGTTAGGCGTCAACAAATCTAGTACAGTTCTTATCGCTATCTGAACATTCCCAATACGATAAAATGTCAAAATGTCACGCAGGACATATATTACGCGTTTGGTACGTACCTGATTTTGGCGTTCACAATCCGAAGTATCCACCGATGGTGGTAGCGATGACAACGCCCAATACGGCGAGGCAAATCATGATCATGATCTTCTTCTGCACTCAGCATTAACAGAGATCGATAAAAATTTAATATAATTTATTACAAAGCTTTGTCTCTCACTCTCTCTCTCTCTCTCTTTCTCTCCTGACTCTCTCCCCTCTATCCTCATCTATATATTTCGCCCTTTCTCCCTCTCTCTCTCTCTCTCTGTCTTTCTCTCATTCCATCTACCTCTCGCATTCTGTCTCTCAAACTCGATACCTTGCTTGTGTGCTCTCGATACCTCTGTCCATTATTATTGCGCTACACATTACAATTGTTTACTTATTGATCTACCGTGTCGTAGAGCACCTGAAAGAAATTGGATCTTGCTCGTTGCCGATTTGGGCGACGTACGTTGCAGTGGCCTGCGTAAAAAATGATGCATCAGTATGTAATTGTAATGCAAATCCAGCAGAAATGGCAAAACAAACACTGACTTTCGCAACATACAAATTTCCGATTTTTAAATTGAATTATATGTCAACGGTTGTAAGGATATGAATTCTAATAAATAAGTAGTTTTGATGATATTTTTTAATGTTAATAATCTTATCTTTAATACATAGAGGAAGGGAGGATTAGTCCGGACGAAAATCATTATTTTATTTTTTTTTCAGTTAGAAGACGTAGAGAGATCAATTTTGGGGAGGTCATAAATTTAATAAAATTTTACATTATTTCCCTGCCTAATAATTATATTTCTCTTCGCTATTTATGTACTAATTACTAAAAAAAAATATTTTTAAAAATATCACGTTTTTGTCCGAACTAACCCTATAAGGATTTAGTACGGACATAATAAAAACTGAGCATTCTTTTGCATCAATGGAAACATTCGTTCATCATTGCTTGCATGGCACGAACAATGTTAGCTTTCAATGGAGGATCTTCCGCTTCTTTTTATTCTTTCCATCAAAATTAAAATTTGAATTATAAATAATTACCATTTTGTTTAATTAAATGTTTAATTTTATAAAAATATTGAGCAAATGTGTGCGTTTGAACATTAAACTAACTTCACGTCTTAAATTAGACACTGTCCGAATAGCCCCATGTGCTTTGTGCAAACTAATTCATACTTACATGATTTTTTAAAGTTATCGATTCTCACAAAATTCAATAAGCAATATAATATTAAAAATTGTTTAACTAATATTAACGTTTAAATACCTTTTAATATGCCATTCTAATACTTATTTGCGAGATCGATTTGAGAGTTGATTGTTTCAATAACTTTTTCATGCTATGCAAAAGTGTTTTTGCAAAAAGTGACCTTGCAAAAGTGATCTTGCAAAAGTGATCGTATCTTACTTGCCTTTTCATCGAACTTGTCACAATTACGTATCAACATCTATCTACTATGCACAGCTAACGTTATTCCGATTATAATTGTTCAAAATAATAAAAAATAATCGATTAATCCGAATTATTCGCGTCTGAAATAATCCCCTCTTTCCCTACATATACAGGATGTCTCAAATATTTCATCTCCATCATCTACAGATTCTTTAACTAATTAATTCAATCCTAAGAGAAAATCTAGCTTTTGACATTTAACTACGTAAATTAATATTATTTATTAAGCATAAATGGACTTTGGGAAAAATTTGTTGACTCGTCATGAAAGAAGGGAAACTTAAGGGAATCCTAAAGTGAAGACTAAACTTCACGATAAAACATTTTTAATTTCAAACTAAAAACATTGGTAATAGTGATAGACCTTTAATTCAATTTCTTATCGTTCTATCTCACTCAAAACGCGTACAACTATCCTTTTATCTATCATACTGAAGCGCCATCTATTGCAACATCTGTTATTAGACATAATTGATGCTTTGCTATCATTTTGTATTTTAGCTAACTATACGCGTACGCAAAAAACGTAGATCCCATTTTTTAAATAGGCTTTCAATCGTAAATTCAGGAGCACAAAATTGTTTATGCCAGTAATCCGAAGGGTGCGATGGATCGCATTTTGCACATTCGAGCCGTATAACTTTTATAAAGTGGAAATGTTGACTCAATATCTTGCTTGTGTGCTCTCGATACCTCATTATTACTACGGTACACATTACAATTGTTTACTTATTGATTATAAAGTGGAAATGTTGACGTGTCAGATGACAGCATACGGGTCGAAAGCAACACACATAAAGGTAATTTTTAAAATTTTTTATATCGATTTTCTTGTCATTCAGCGCACCCTCACTTTTTGTCCGTATTTTAATTGTGCAAAAGGATTTTTCATTCTGCGCAGTCAATTCAAAATGGGACTCTACGCTACACTGTATCGATAATTTTATCCAGTTTAGGATCCCCTTAATGTTCTTGACTAAGAAAAAAATGGCTTCAAAATTTTTATGTAGCTTCAACTGATTGAAAAATTCAGAGAGGATAAAAATCTGGATAAAAAAATACAAGAAATCTGGAACATCTCGTGCACAAAAGAAAGAAATGTAATCGATCATAGAATAAATACTATTCTATTTGTATTTAAAACGTAAAAATATTTTTCCCGGGCACTATCAATAGTGGAAAAATCTCAAAGTCCTTTCGTTTACCTTTAATAAGCACAGAAATACGAACGGAATAAGACAAGAATAAAAAAAAAAAAAGATCGAGAGATCAGCATCAATAGCGGGAAAAGCGGGAATACAGACCTTCATTAATCGATACTGTTAACATTTCATTTTCTTCAGGGTTTCCTCTTGCTCCCGTGCAGCTTCAACGGTGCATTCTCAACTCGGTTGTGCCTCCTAATTTATCTTTCATCCCACTTTCCTCTCTTCCTTTCTTCGTGGCAAGCATACTCCGCCAAGGAAATTTACACCTAGGTTTATCCACCGTGAATAGGATCCTCACGGAGCGATCGGACGCGCTGCTGTTGCTTTTTCTCTTGTATAAAACGCGCGACGCGAATTTCTATTTATCTTCGCGATTCTATTATCATTCGTACGATCAGCGCTAATTATTATTATATCTGATTTTACTTGTAAACCTGGTTTGTCACTAGCAAAACAATTTCCTTTTCGTCTCCTTCTCCGCGAGGCGGCAAGTACAGTAAAGATGACAGAGAAAAAAAAAAGGCGACGTGCCGTGAACGATGCCGCGGTTCCTCTAGTAACAGTTTCATTTTTCCTTCTTTTTTTTTACGCTGAATATACTTGAAGAGAAGAAAAATTTTACTACGCTAATCGGCATTAATGATTAATATTGTTGCTCTCTTTTTCTCGTTATCTCGTCATTATTATTATTATCATTATTATTATTATATTATTATTATTGTTATCTGCTCTATACAAATTGCGATTATTTACATGTACAATGCGGGCGCCGTACCGCGTCGCGCGGTCTGCATTGCGACGACGGTGATTATTAGAGTTCGAACGATCGATACCTGCTCATCGGAGCATGTGTACGTATCGCGAGATACGTCGTCACGCGGATTAACGTCCCGACCGAGCAGAAGTAAGCTCGCGTAAGCCCAGACACGGCAGACTTAAAGGTACACGGCACGAGAAAGGTGGCGACCGTCTCTCCGTCTCGCATTTCGTGCAGGAACATTTCGATCAATTCTGGGACAAATCCGAAGGTATGTCCTCGACAAGCTCCAACTCGCGCCGCCGCCGCGCCGGTACAGCTTGCCGCCGCGCCAGTTCAGATTGCCTTCTCTATTATCTAGTAGAGTATAGGCCTGTCCAATATTTTGCCCGCGAGCTAAACGCGAACATCCCTCCATCTTAAGCGAGACAAAAAAAAAATAAGAAAAACTAAGATGGACGTTAAGAGTTAGTCTGCCAATCTGCAGATCCGCCAATGGGTAGAGTTTTAGCGATTTTTTTATTTTTTATTTTTGCTCTGTATTTCGCTCAAAGAGACGATGAAGAGGATAAGAAAATTTTCTCGAGAGCAAAATGTTAAACAAGTCTGATTTAAAAAGTATTGCTGACTTCATGATATCAAGCGAATCTGCGGCGACAACAAACGATTCGCGCCAATATCAAACATCGATCATCGACAAGAACGAAGATTGATAATGCGAAATCGAATATCTTCAGCGCTCGTTGTCGCTGCGTTTCAAAGATGTTCGTCTTTGATGACGCGAGCTTTAAATTATATATTATATTTTAATATATAATGCATAATATTATATACACGTATATATTATATATTATAACATATTAATAATATATTACATATTGTATTTTTTTTAGCAATTAAGAAATCTCCATATAAAAGTGATTTTTTAGGAAAAATTTAACGAATAAATTATGTGAGCAAGGAGAAAATTTTTTAAATTAAACTTAAGAAGATTCTAAAATCGTTTATTTTATCTAATACGATTATTTTTAAAACAAGTATTTTTTCTAACTGCTTTTACAGATTTTGAAAGTCCTTTTCATAATTAAAGTACAAAGGACAGTTCAAATTGTTTGACTTTATGCCGAAAACGAAAAAAAGTTGGAAAATTTTGTTATTAGCTCGTAATTCTTGCGTCGACTAGTAACAACATTTGCTTTATATAAAAGTTTATATTTTGTATATGTTTAAAACAATCTTGGTTTAGACTAGAGGTGTGCGAATAGTTCAAATTCGAATCGAATCGAATCACAGTAGATTCGATTCGAATTCGTTTTCGAATCTGTAAGATTCGAAATCGAATAGTTCGAGAATTTCGAATCAATCGCCTATTTTATTTGATTCATTTTCTCCCGCGCGACCAATTATTCTTATTTAATAAATAAGTAT